AGCCTTTGTAATTCTTCAGACTGAAACAGTCAGATCGTCATAAACAAGATATGATGGATAAGAGTAACCGGTTTACAATGGGTGTCTCGAGTTCCATCCCAGTAAATTTAAACAACAGTCGACCGAGGCGAGTATGCAGCGCGAGTACGCGAATTTCCACACCACAGGAAATAAGAATCAACTAGGCAACGAAGACTGGTGAAGGAAAAATACTTCCCAAAAATGGTATAGAGCAAAATTTTTCTGATAAAGGGGGAAAAGCCTCTTTTTGCCCTGGGGGCTGTTTGTCAGCCAAATATGGTTCCTTTTTCGTTAGAAATGTTGTAAAGGTCATTTAGTGCTGAGGAACAAGTGGTGAAAGCTATTACGATTAGAACAATCAATGCTCACCTGGAATGAGCCCCTGAAGCATAGAGGCAGCGGCTGCAGTCGTAGTGACTGGCTGAAAGCCGCTCAGAGTGTTGATCCATCCGCCCACCACCATGCCGTTCGGTGTGCTCACCAAACTTGGCTGTGCCAACTGAGCCGTACCCACTGAGGCGTCTCCCGCTTGCTGCGTCATCACGACGCCCCCGAGGCCGGCGTTGGCTCCTGCCGCAGCGTTGTTCGAATTGCCTACGTTTCCACCGCCCGCGCCGCCCGGATCAATGCCACCTGTCTCCGTGGAGGGCTCTGGCTTGATGGGTACCAGAATACTATTTGGGTCAAAGAGCTGCGGGGTTAGACCGTTGCCCCCGTTGCCGGAAGCCATTTGCTGCTGCTGATGATGATGGGGCGCCAAATGGATTTGTTGTAGCTGTTGTCCGGACATGTCCAACTGCGAGAGTTGAGTCGCTTGAGCTTGCTGGATGAGTTGCTGCGATTGGTGTAGTTGGAGTTGCTGATGTTGTGGTTGACCTTTGCGTCCGTGCTTGCGTTGATTCAATTGTTCCAATTGTTGTTGTGCCACCAGGGCTGCTACAAAATAAAGATGATAGAAAATAAATTCACAGTTTTGTGAGTCGTGGCCTCATGTCTAAACCTGGACGAGTTAATTGATGAAGACCAAGATATTGTGGCCCCCGGTATGGTCGCAATCTCCTTTCGATTTACAGAAGTGGGTTGACTTCGTTGTCGTAACTTAGTCTTGTTGTCAGGGCGACCTAGTAGAACGCACCTTGTCCGAACTACTATGGCAGACGACTTCGGACTAGATGCGTTCTACCAAGTCCCCCTGACAACAAGACCAAGTTGCGACGAGGTCAACCACTTCTAGACGAGTTAACCTTATTTCATGTCTCATGTAATAGTTGTCCTGATAATTTCCAGCGTCGGACCAGGAACTTGACACATACCAAAGTCCTAAGTCCGACGCTAAAAATTGACTCCTAGGGTAAATGAGTCAAATAAGATACCTTCATCTAGATCACCCTGGCAACACGACCAAGTCGAGTAAACGAGGTCGAACCACTCATCTACGGCAGCCAAAATAGAGGCATCACTATTGTAATCTACATGCGTTTGATTTAGATTTTTGTGTCCATCTTAGGGGGTAATTTGCATTCTAAGCATAGAGAATTTTCCATCTTATTTATCCCACCTGTGCGATTGGAAGAAATTTTGTCCGCGCATGCTAGAATAGCAAGCTACTCAACGAGAGCTGACCGAATACCCAATAAATG